ATATTTTTCAAAAAATAACTACACATTCAACTAATTAAAAGTATCTATGTAATGTACACACAATTATCCTATTTTGTTTTGTAAAGTATGCATTATTTTTAGTTACTATCAATAGCTTTGACTGCATATCAAGCATATGATAACAATACCACACCAAGGTTCCACCAGTCAGGCAGTCAATCAGTCATCATCTCTCTTACAAAAACTTAAATGAAGTTACATCAATGTTCTGCTTTCCTGTCAGCTACTTCTTGTCCTTCAATCAGTTCTCTCCCTCTTTCTCTCTGACGCATATATACAAGCGCGCGCGCACACACACACATGAACATGAAGCAGCGTCAAGGCGCCAGCACCCAATTCACGCTTCATCACAGGAGGTCTTGGGAAGGCCCCGCAGGCCTTCGCTGCCCGGCCCAACCCGCCTCCACTCATCGTGCAGCGTCCATTCGCACGGACCGGGCTGGCCGCCGTGCTGCCCGCGGTCAGGAGCACGGGTCAGCATCACCGTCAGGCAACTCAGAGAAGCCAGAGTAGTGTGTCCTTGGTGAATCCTGGAGAGGGCGAAGTCCTTGGCCCGTCTCCGTCCGAGGAGCGGTCCTCGCGTCCGAGGAGGTGACGGTTGACGGTAAGGGCCTGTCCAGTCCAGGCGAGATCCCTGATGAAGTCGCCGCCAAGGCCGCTGACGAGTTCAGGGCCCTGGCTCCTGACATGTGCCCCATTCCTTAAGGTTCATTAGACCCCATCCTTCGTATCTTCACAATTAAGCACTTAAGGCCGGTTAAAGCCCCGCCGAGTCCCTAAAGGCGAGCCTAAAGGCCCGGGCCGGCCTGGGCCCTTTAGAAAGTCTGCAGGGTGGTCTCCGCCTGCTCCAGCTGGCTGTCCCGCCGACTGCGCCGCCGCGCGGCGATGTCGTTGGCCGCCCCCGTCTCCACGGACGTGTACGCGTCCTTGTCCGGGTCGTCCCACGGCTGGACGTCACCGGACGCGAAGATGAGGTAGAAGCCGGAGCAAGCAGCATACACGGCGGCGCTGATGAAGAACACCACCCTCCACGCGGCCTGCGTCGGCTGTCAGAGGGAATGTATGTATTAGTCACCGGGCAGCAAGGCGGAATAGACTTTGGTCGAATAAAGTGAACCGAAACCGCCACTTTCCCCTGAGCCACGCTCGGCACAGCGCACGCTCCTGCAGGCGTGAGAGGGCTAGGAGGGCAGGGAGTCACACCAGCCTCGCGGCCTCCCCCGAGGGGTCCTTCACTATAAATTGTAGCGTACACAGATTTTTCTCATTTTCTTGATTTTTTTTTGATTTTTTCTTAACTTTTTGTTATTTTTTTCTGACTCTTCGTTAATTTTTTGTTATTTTTGAAAGTGATTTTTTCATGTTTTTTACTGATTTTTTTAGTGATTTTTTTTAGTGATTCTAAGGGTGTACACTGATTTTTTTTGAGTGAAGGACCCTCGGCCTCCCCGCGCTCCACCCCTCACCCCCTGCGTGCATGAGCTCGAGCGTGCGCTGCGCCGAGAGCGGCGGAATGGAGACTACCAACCTTCCCCTCGACGATGAACCCGGCCACGAGGGGCGCGAGCAGCGCGAACACGTTGGCGATGCAGTTGGTGAGGCTCATGAGGATGCCGGCGAAGCGCGGCGAGATGTCGAGGTGGTTGATCCGGTAGCCGCTCATGGTGCCGCCCATGAGGCCCACGCCCAGCGACAGCAGCCCCACCGTGAGCGGCGCCGAACAGCCCGTGTAGGAGGCGGCGATGAGCGCCAGCGCCGGCCCGAACATGCCTGCGAGAGGAGATGGGGTGAGGTGAGGTGTTGGAGGACTTCACAATCAGGAGGCTGCTTCGCCCCGTCCATTCAGGAGTTAGACTGTACCATAGACACGCGTGCGGGCCGGTTGCCTAGGGATCGTCCAGAAAGTACGTCCTTTTTTCCTGAGATTCATTTGAAAATTGCGGAAGCTGGGCGCCTGTGAACTGCAGGGTAGGCCACTCCGCACTACACGCATGCACTGCAGGCGAGATGTTGCCTACCATCAGGCGCTATGAGAGCTTGCGAAGCCGTGAACTTAATAGGTTCGTAACGGCGAATGACGGACGTACTTACTAGATGGTCCCCCGCTCGGGCCGCGGGCCGTAAGGCGCCATGGTCAGAGACGAGAAACGCGTAAACCCACCCGTTTCGTGTGCGTGCGGTACATCTAACAATGGAAGTAGGCAGGGTGAATCCGCCACCCGCGAGGTTTATTGATTCGACACCTCTCCTTACCTATGCCGTTGAGCAGCTTCCTCGTCTTGGTCAGTGAGACGCCTCGGGTCCACGTCATCCAGTCAGCCACGATGCTCACCACGATGGAGAATATCCACATGGCGAGGTACGGCAGCGCCGACAGGAGTCCGTTCTGCTTGATGGTGAAGTGCAGCACCTGCTTCATGTACGTGGGCAGCTCGGTGAGCAGCGTCTCGTAACCGTAGTTTTGGCCCATGTGCGCCACCAGGATGGCCCAGAAGGGCATCGACTTGAGCACCGCCATCCACGGTATGGGCGGCGTCTTCTCATTCTTCTCTCCGCCCAGCGAGCCGACGATGAACTTGCGCTCGGCGTCGCGGATGCGGGGGTGGCTGTCGGGGTCCTCGAAGACCCAGATGAGGAAGGCGATGGACCAGGCGGTGCCGATGGCGCCGAACACGTAGAAGATGGAAGGCCAGCCGCCGTCAAAGCCGTAGCGGGACAAGAGCCCGCTCAGCGGCAGCGAGAACACCGTGCCGAACTGCGCGCCTGGGGGACAAGGAGTGGGTCATCACCATAGTACCATCATTAGAACCCACGACGGGCCGGGCCGGAGCGGCGCGCAGGGAGCGATATAGGCTTCGGGGTGGCAACCGGCGGGCCACGGCGGCGGCGTGCCGCGCCAAGGTTTACGATAGGAAATTTTGCTTTGCTTTAATCTTTTCGCGACCCGTTCAAATGTTGACGCTCCCAGTGCTGGTAAATCTTTCTAGCTGATAAGGCGGCCCGTGCCGTAGGCTTGCCGCTTGCCGTGCCATCGCTCTGCTCTGCGGCCGCTCTCTCCCTCTCTCCCTCCTCCCCTTTCCCGCCGCCCTTTAAATCATCCGCCCCAGCCGTGAGGCCTGCTGGCGCGGCCGCGGCCCGCCTCTAGGAGGCTCGCCCTGCCCGGCCCGCGCTCAGATGAAAAGAAAAATAAATGGCAGGCATCAGGGGCCGGGCCGGGCTGGGCCGGCAGCACCACGGGGATCACGGCGGCGCCCAGCAGCAAGCTTACCAGCGTACACGAAGGCTCCCAGACGGCTGCGCTCGTTGGGCGGGATCCACTTGGCCAGCATGGCGTGCGTGCAGGGCACGATGGGACCCTGCGGGGGGAAGCATACACATTGTTTTAATAGCACCGTATTTCTGTCGGCGCGCCGAGGCGGTATCCGCAGCCAAAAGGGGTTTAGGGCAGAGGTGTTATCGCAGAGTGTTGCTGAACTTGCTTTGCTTGCACATGACTCATGCACTGTACTGGACTGTACCAACTGTACTACTCGGGGAGGTAATACAAAGTCGTGCATGCATGATAAAGGCGGCATGCGGCCCCCGCCGGCCCGGCGGCGGCGTCCCCCCCGCCCCACTTCCAGTCCCAATAGCCCCTTTCCCGGGGCCCGGACGCGAGTTGCGCAAGTCGCGACCGTTTGGTGCGACGGCGCCACTCTCTGTGCCCTATGGGTGGGTGCGAGTGCACATCATCAGATATGCGTTCGCACGAGGCAACATGCCGGTCGTAAAGACGATGTCCTCCCTCCCCTCCCCATGTTTGACGAAGCGAGGTCCGTTGAACCCCGAACAGCTCGCTTGCTCAATGTGCTGGACTCACCTCGCCGAGGCCCTGGATGAAGCGCACGAAGATAAGCGGCCACACCCCCATGCGCGCGGCCACGGGCACCAGGAGGCCGAACACCGAGTTGACGAGCATCCCCACGCCCAAGAAGTATTTGGCGCCGTACCTGTGGACAGATCAAAGTAGAGTCACACAGGTGTCAACAGACCGGACAAGGAGTAGGGTCGTCGACTCACTTCTTAGCCATGATGCCGAAGGGGATCTGCGTGAGCACGTAGCCGTAGAAGAAGGCGCTGAGGATGTAGGCCTGCAACTCCGTATCCCAGAGGAACTCGCCATCCTCCTTGGGGTCGTTGACAACCTGAGAGGCGAGCACAAGAGAAAGGTGGCATGAGATGGCGTTCTTCATCATTTTTAATCAATCGTCTCGAAAATTTGCAAAATTTACGGGGTTAATTAAGATGAACAGAGTGACACCGCGCTTGGCTGCCCACTCACAATGGATGATAAATCTGACGAACGTCTGGCCGGTATATAGCGCTCCCCCCTCCGTCCCTATCCGTCTCTGTCCTGCAGACTGATTCCGAAGAGCGCTCAAGGGGAGCTGCCCCATGAGTGCAACAAGGATGGAGCTATACGGAAGGTATAGGAGAGCGCTCTTCGGAATCAGTCGGCTGAGGGTCGACCCTCCTGGTTCAGGGTGAGAGACGGAGGAGGTCGGTGGAGGGGGCGGCCACTGTTTGGGTGACTTTGTCTCAATCCTATTTATAATACCCTCTGAATGCAGACCGCAAGCAGGGGATGACCGGGGAGGGTGGGGGGAGTGTTAAAGGACGCAGCTACGAAAAAGAGAGAGGCCAAGGGGAGGGTGAACGGGACTGGGCGGGACGAGGCGGGGAGGTCAAGGAGACGCCGCCGCGGCGGGACCCTCGAGCGCCGTCTTTATTTTGGTCCGTAATACGAATAGGCGGGGCCGCGAAGGCGCGGCAGGGTGGGAATAGAATATTATTTCACTGTCAGGGTTCATCCCCCCAACAAAGGTGAGGAGACCTGAGACCTTCATGCAATTGTGTCGCCGCGGGGGTGAGGGAGAGCCGGGGCGCTGGACGGCCAACCTCCCTCCCCCTCCTCAAGCGCCTCGGGCGGCGTGACCCGCTCGGGCCACTCAAAGCTGTCGCGGCAGACGCCTGGGCGGTACGGAGTGGGCAGACGACACCGCCGGGGGGGCGAGACGCGAGCCGTCGAGGCCCAGAATACACTCCGTCCGCTGGTCCGGCGCGGTCCTCGTCCCGGCCCCGCCCGGCCGCGGGCCTCCCGCGGGTGGGCCCGCCCCTCGGCCCCACGCCCGCGCAGCCACGAACCCTCAGGAATAGATACGACAGTGGTCGCGTGGGCGGCGGCGGCGGCGACAGCGACAGCACGCGGTGGTGCAGGGGGCAGGGGGAGGCTGCGACTGCTGCGCGGGGCTGCGCGCTGGAGGAGCAGCTCACTCACCGACAGGTTCCTGCGGACGGTGCCGTCGCCGCACTCGTCGTCGACCTCCTCCTCCTTGCGAGGCAGCGCCGTCTGGTTCACCATGGCCACGATGGCCACCGACATGTTGGTGCGCATGACGTAGGCGTTGGCCATGCCCAGGAACAGCATGAGGGTGAGGAAGTGGCGCGCCCCCGTCCATCCTGCGGCAGAGAGAGAGAGAAAGGGCAAGTTAGTGGTGGGGCACGCCGAGCTGCGGAGATGAGAACTGGGGG